GAAACTCATGAGGAGCGCGCGGGAACTCATGAGGAGTGCGCGGTGTGGATGCCCAAACGAGTGATCACGTGAACCAGCGGTTCACAAACTCATCCCGAATCTAGAATTCAAGAAACATCGGCGAGAAGACGCATTGATGACCCCATCGAACGTAACCCCAGAAAGGGCGGTGAATGAAATGGAGACTCAGCACAAAGTCATCCGCTGAAGAAGCGGTGGCGAAAGCGGCAGGGAGAGAGGGGGAAGAGGGAACATGACGAGACAAGCACACACTCCAGGTCACAATGCGACGTAGTAATATCGATATCGATCCAATTGTGGCATCTCTGCTGGTGCTCGCGACGGTTTTTGTGAGGGTGCCGTCCACCCTGGGCGGTCCACGCACCCGTGGATTTCATCTTCTTCCCACTCCTCCCCGTCTAGACCTGCCCGTTTCTGCCTCGTGGAGGCTTCTTGGAGCCATCGTGGGAGGAACGGGAGGAGGAGGAGGGGGAGGAGGAGGAGGACGAGGAGGAGGAGGAGGAGGAGGAGGAGGAGAAGTAGGAAGAGGAGGGGGAGGATGATAGGGGGAGGAGCAGGAAGAGGGGGCGGGCGGGGAGGGGAATGAAGGAGCAGGGAGGGGGCCAGGGGGGGAGAGGCGCTGAGGGATGGGGTTAGGGGCATTGAGGAGGCCTGGGCCTGGCCCCTCCCGCCTACCTGGCGTGCGCGAGGTGAGACTCGGCAGCACCCTCTCCGTCACGAACGAGGTGCGGTTAGGAGACAAGCTGTCCGTCCAGAAGATTGTGCTCTTCGGAAGCGCGATGTCCGTCGAAGAGACGGCCTTCTTGGGGACCGCGCCTCCGCTCTCTCAGCCTCGGCCGGCCGCGAGCCGCCGCCGCCGCCGCCCCGCCCCCCCCACCGCCCGCGCCACGCCCCCACGCCTCCTCACCGCCAGCCCCCTCTGCCCAGGGAAGGAGGAGGAGGAGGCGGAGGGAGGAGGAGGAGGAGGAGGAGGAGGAGGAGGAGGAGGAGAGGAGGAGGAGGAGGAGGAGGAGGAGGAGGAGAGGAGGAGGAGGAGGAGGGAGGAGAGGAGCAGCACCTCTGCCCCCCCCCCCCCCCCCCCCCCATCTGCACGCCCCCCCGCCTCCCCCGCCCGGCACGCTCTGCCTGCCTACTCGTCGCCCTGCGTCGCCGCCCTGTCCCTCGCCCATCGCCCGCCCCTCCCGACCAGCCGCGCCCCCCCCCTCCCTCTTGCCTCCGCGCAGACCCAAGAAGGTGCGGGCGGACCTCGGGAAGTTCTCGTGTGCATGCGTGCAGCTTCCTCTCCCTCTCCGAGTGCTCGAGCTTCCACCGTGGCGCTGGGCCGCTCGTTAAGCGCTTCAGGAGAGAGAGAGTGAGGGAGAGAGAGAGAGAGAGTGAGAAGCTGCAGTCGCACGATGCGCTGTGCTGCGGTCGCACGCTGCTGCTCGCGTGCCAGACGCGCCTCCGCCCTCCTCGCCTCTCTGGGGAAGGGCAAAGCCGAGCGGGTCCCATGCCGTCGCCTCGCTTCCGCCCTGCCGTTTTTTTTTCTCCTTCTTTTTCCCTTTTCGTCGCCCTTCTTCTGGAGGTGTGCGGCGGGGGAGGGCGGGCAGGACGAGGGAAGGGCGGGACACCGAGAGAGAGAGGGCCGCCCCCCCCCCCCGCGCTCTGCTCCCCCCTGCCGAGAGCACTCCGCTGCAGCGCGCACGCCTCGCTGTCGCTCCAGGCCCTTGGGCGCACGTCTACCGTCCCGCGTGGCTGGCATTCCGCATCGAATCGGGAAGCTGGATCGAAAATCGGAACGCGCGTCGAGTCGGACGGGGCCAGGACGAGGATGGAGCCGTTCCGGGGCGTTCTGGAACGCTCCGAGGAGGCCGCGGCGCCCGAGGCAGGCTCCGAGGAGCCGCCGATCTCCGAGATTTTCGACGTATCCTCGCTCGATTTTGGCCTCGTCCTGGCTCCGTCGTGTCGGCTCGGGCGGCGTCGGCACGGCGTCGAGGTCGAGCCGCCTCGGATGAGGGCCGGACGGGTGGCAGGGGAGGGAGGGCCCTCCCTCGGGCGAGGGGCAGCGGCTCGGCAGCAAGTCGTGGGAGCCCGGTATATACCCTGGTGATTCCGTCTGTAGCGCCGACCAGCGCCGATGCAGCGCCGATGCAGCGCCGATTCAGCGTCCGTTCGGCGTCGATTCGGCGTCGACTCGCACGAGCCCGCACGGTGGCCTGGGAGGCAACAGGCGTGGGGGATCAGGGGCTTCGGGCAGGTGGCCCTGGTCGCAGGGGCCCTGCGCCGCTCCGGGGCCTGCCACCGCGGGCCCCGGAGGTGCGCGCTCCTTCGCCCCATGTCTTGCGGTGCATCTTTGGGGGGCCTCGCCTGGCCCCCCAGACCGGTGTCTTTTCTTGTGCCCGACGCGGGCTCGGTGCGGGCTCGACGCTTCTTTGGCGTGGGCTCGACGCGGATTCGGCACGGGTTCGACACGGATCCGACGAGGCCGACATGGATACGACACGGGTTCGACGCGGACAGGGCCGCGACGGGACGCACAACATATTCATTGCCCCCCCTGGTGACGAACACCCGACGCCCGTGCGGCGGACATCGGCAGCCGGGTCGCACACACACACGAGAAGCCGCGCCTAGACGGCGCATCGGCACAGAAATGTTGTTAACATGCACATGTGGGAAGACATAGGAAATAAATACGCCATGCAGGTGGGATGGGATGAGATCACCAGCAATCTTTGTACTTGGCGACCCGCTGTTCGTTAACTTGCAAGCGAAACTTGCGGAGGAGGAGGAGGAGGAGGAGGAGGAGGAGGAGGAGGAGGAGGAGGAGGAGGGGGAGGAGGAGGAGGAGGAGGAGGGGGAGGAGGAGGAGGAGGAGGAGGAGGAGGAGGAGGAGGGGAAGTCGAATCGGCGGCAGTCGGCAGGCTTGTAAGGCCTCCGTTGAGAAGTCGGGGTCCGAAGCGGAAGCCGACGTCGAATTGAGTCGGACTCGGAAGCCATCGCAGGCGAATCCTGGAGGAGTAGTCGAGCTGAGCCCTGGAACCCATGGAGTAGCGAGTCCGTCTGAAACCATCGGAATCACATCGGAGGAGTCGAGCTGAGCCCTGGAAGGGGGTGGGTGGGAGCTGGGCGAGCTGAGGCAGGAATCGCCAGGCGCGCGGGCGGGGAGGTGCCGGGGGCAACCCCAGGGGGGGCGGGAATTCGAAGTCGAAGGTCGAACCGAGGTCGAATCAGATCGACTCGGAGGAGTCGAGGCGAGCCCTGCCCCGTCCCGCCCGCGGTTGGCCCCGCGGGGAGGAGGTGCCGCCGTGTGCCCTCCCCCGCCGATCTCCCTCCCCGCCCCCCCGCGGTTGCCTCCGGCACCGCCCCCGCGCCCGCGCACCCGGTGATCCCCGCCGTGGCTCGCCCAGCTCCCCCTCACACCCCCTCCTGGGGTCACTTCGACTCTTCGAAGAAGAAGAAACGTCATACACACAATCTTTTGGCGCTCCGCGCGGATTTCTTGGATCCGCGCTAGGCCCCCCTGGTGGCGGCGACGGAGGCGCCAGGGAGGGGGGTCCAGCGCAGATCCAGGACATCCGCGCAGAGCGCCAAAAGTTTCCGATTCGATTCGATGTCGATGGCCTCCGAGGCCGCTTCGATTCGGCGCCGGATTCCGCTCTGGACTCCGACCTCTCCACGGAGGCGTTGCTGGCCTGCCGAGTCCTGCCGATTTGACTCCTCCCGACGCGGCTGCCGATTTTCCCGCGGATCCGAGCCGTTTCGATCGCTGATGCGACTTATCGATTCGATCTGGGGCTGTCCTGCCACCTTTTCTCGATTGAGGACAATCACGACTGCTTTTTTCTTGGCAAGTCTGGGCCTCCATGCAGGGGCCTCAGCCTGGGCCCGGGGGCCGTCAAGAGCCAGCTCGGGAGGAGAAGCCGGTCCGGGGGAGAGGGCCTAGACCTCTGGGTGTCCCCCGTTGTGGAAGAACTACCCTGACGTTTTCAACCTTTTCTACACATGTAGCGATTATACTCTGGACCACTCAATGCTGACAGGCATTCTGAAGGACCCGCAGTGCGCAGAAAGAGCACCCAACAATGCTTTCAGAAGAGCGCAGCAAGAAGTCCCGTGGTGATCCGCGTATGACGTACCTCCGCTGGGCCTTCCAGGAGCCCACGGAAGTGGCGACAGTTGCGCAGATCGCAGCCCCCCAGGGGCGGCGAGGTCCCGTGGTGATCCGCGTATGACGTACCTCCGCTGGGCCTCCCAGGAGCCCACGAAAGTGGCGACAGTTGCGCAGATCGAAACACCCCACGGGCGGCGAGGTCCTGTGGTGATCCGCGTATGACGTACCTCCGCTGGGCCTCCCAGGAGCCCACGAAAGTGTCGACAGTTGCGCAGATCGCAGCCCCCCAGGGGCGGCGAGGTCCCGTGGTGATCCACGTGGGACCCACCTCCGCTGGGCCTCCCAGGAGCCCACGAAAGTGTCGACAGTTGCGCAGATCGCAGCCCCCCAAAGGGGCGGCGAGGTACCGATGTGATCCGCGTATGACGCACCTCCTCTTGGCCTCCCAGGAGCCCACGTAAGTGGCGACAGTTGCGCAGATCGCAGCCCCCCAGGGGCGGCGAGGTTCCGTGGTGATCCGCGTATGGCGTACCTCCGCTGGGCCTCCCAGGAGCCCACGAAAGTGGCGACAGTTGCGCAGATCGCAGCCCCCCAGGGGCGGCGAGATACCGAGGTGATCCACGTGGGACCCACCTCCGCTGGGCCTCCCAGGAGCCCATGAAAGTGGCGACAGTTGCGCAGATCGCAAGCCCCCCAGGGGGCGGCGAGGGACCGAGGTGATCCGCGTGGGACCCACTTCCGCTGGGCCTTCCAGGAGCCCACGAAAGTGGCGACAGTTGCGCAGATCGCAAGCCCCCCAGGGGGCGGCGAGGTACCGAGGTGATCCGCGTGGGACCCACCTCCGCTGGGCCTCCCAGGAGCCCACGAAAGTGGCGACAGTTGCCCAGATCGCAAGCCCCCCAAAGGGGCGGCGAGGTACCGATGTGATCCGCGTGGAACCCACCTCCGCTGGGCCTTCCAGGAGCCCACGAAAGTGGCGACAGTTGCGCAGATCGCAAGGCCCCCAGGGGGCGGCGAGGTACCGAGGTGATCCGCGTGGGACCCACCTCGGCGGGGCCTCCCAGGAGCCCACGAAAGTGGCGACAGTTGCGCAGATTGCAGCCCGACGGCACGAGGGAAGAGGAGAGGGGAACACCTGAAACAGGAGGGAAGGAGGAGGGGAGGAGAGGGGAGGAGAAGGAAGGACGGGGCGACCACACTGCTCTATTCAAAACGAGTGCCCAACACAGGGGGGTCGGGAAAAACAGAAATGGGTCCAGACCTGGGACCCACCTCTTCTCGGTTGAGACAAATCACGACTGCTTTTTCTTGGCAAGTCTGGGCCTCCATGCAGGGGCCTCAGCCTGGGCCCCGGGTCAGTCAAGAGCCAGCTCGGGAGGAGAAGCCCGTCCCGGGGAGAGGGTCTAGACCTCTGGGTGTCCCCCGTTGTGGAAGAAAAGCAGAGATGGGGCCGACTCCGGGGCGCTTCGAGCCTCCAGGCTGGGCCTCCTCGAGTCGGCCGCTCAGACAGACGGCTGCAGGGGTCTCCGCGGCGGTCCGGGCCGTGCTCTCGTAGCGCCTGTGCGCGACGACGAGCCTCGGGCGTTGCCGCAACGCCGACCCGCACCGCTCGCTGGCTGCTGTGGGGCGCGCGCCCCCGATGCATACCGCGAAGCTCCACCCTCTGTCCCTTCTCGCGCAGGGGCAGTCTTTCCCGCACCGCCCGCAGGAGCTCCATGCCTCTTCAATCCTTTGCTCGACTGGGAAGCGCTTTGCTTGCGTTTGGTGCGGCGGGGCCAAACAACCAGCTCGCACCGAACGTGATCGTTGTCTTATTCATTGCTTTGCCGATCGGCGCGGGCCCTCGAGAACCCCCCCTCCCTCCCCCCGTGGAGTGGATCTTGGCTGTTTTTGGCGCCTGTTTCGAGCAGGTGGAGTCTCCCCCAGAGGACGCACTGCTGCAAGCAGTCGCATCAAGCAGGCAGAGGTCTGGAGCCAGACCTCCCCCCTGCCCCTCCCCTTCCGCCCAATGTCGAAACGCCGAATAAGAAAACGTTCACCATGGCTGCTCTTCTGCGGGGCTGGAGGCGGGAGCAGGACGGAGAGCGCTGGTCGACCGTACACCAGTGCCAGGGGAATGTAGCCGGGTGCAGCCGCCGTCGCTCTGGATCCGGTATGAGCCCTCGTGGGGGGCTCGCCCGGAGCCTCCGAGGAAGTGGTAGTGCTCGTCGGCCAGGGCTCGAAGAAGAACACAAACCCATTAAAACAAACTTTTGGCGCCTCGCTCGGATCTCTTGGATCCGCGCCGAACCCACCGGCGGCTCCTCCGGCGCCGCCCCTGGCGCGCTCCGCGCGCCAGGGAGGGTCCCAGTGCAGATCCAGGAAGTCCGTGCGGAGCGCCAACATCTGCATGTCTATGCCGTCTTCTTCTTGCTCTTGTTGTTGTCGTCGTCGTCGTCGTCGTCGTCGTCGTCGTCGTCGTCGTTGTTGTTGTTGTTGTTGTTGTTGTTGTTGTTGTTGTTGCTGTTGTTGCTGTTGTTTGTGTTTTTGCTGTTGTTGTGGTTGTTATTGTAATGGTTGTGGTTGTCGTTGTTGTTGTTGTTGTTGTTATTGCCTTTGTTGTTGTGGTTGTTGTTGCTGGTATCGTTGTTGTTGTTGTTGTTGTTGTTGTTGTTGTTGTTGTTGTTGTTGTTGTTGTTGTTGTTTGTGTTGTTGTTGTTGTTGGTTTTGTTGCTGTTGATGGTATTATTGTTGTTGTCGTCGTCGTTGTTGTTGTCGTTGTCGTTGTCGGTGTTGTTGGTGTTGTTGTGGTTGTTGTTTTTGTAGTTGTTGTTACTGTCGTTGTTGTTGTTATTGTTGTGGTTTGTGTTGTTGTTTTTGTTGTTGTCGTTGCCGTTGTCGTGGTTGTTGTGGTTGTTGTTGTTGTAGTGGTTGTTGTGGTTGCGTTTGTTGTTGTTGTTGTTGTTGTTGTGATTGTTGTTGCTGTTATCGTTGTTGTTGTCATTGTTGTTGCTGTTGTTGTTATTGTTGTTGTTGTTGTTGTCGGTGTTGTTGTCGTTGTCGTTGTGTTTGTCGTTGCTGTTGTTGTTGTTGTTGTTGTTGTTGTTGTTGTTGTTGTTGTTGTGGTTGTGGTTGTCGTTGCTATTGTTGTGGTGGGTGTTGTTGTGGTTGTTGTTGTCGCTGTGGTTGGTGTTGTGGTTATTGTTGTTTTTGGTGTTGTTATTGCCGTTGTTGTTGTCGTTGTTGTCATTATCGTTGTTGTTGTCGTTGTCGTTGTCGTTGTTGTAATTGTTGTTGTTGTTGTTGTTGTTGTTGTTGTTGTTGTTGTTGTTGTTGTTGTCGTTGTGGTTGTGGTTGTGGTTGTTGTTGCTCTCGTTGTTTTTTTGTGCTTGTTGTCATTGTCGTTGTTGTGGTTGTTGTTGTTACTGTCGTTGTTGTAGTTGTTGTGGTTGTCGTTGTTGTTATTGTCGTTGTTGATTTTGCCGTTGTGGTTGTTGTTGTTGTTGAACATTATTTATTCTAAAGAATAATTATTGTTGGGCCCCCTGGTGCGCGCCCCCCCTGCGCCGCCTAGGCCGCAGCTACATTTTCATCATTTTCGTGAGGAAGCCTCAGAAAAGAGGGTGTGTACAGGATCCGGTTGTTTTGTTGTAATCCGCTTTCCCTTGCAAAAAACAATAGAAAATGACATTTCTTGTTCTAATATAATCAAATTTCAAGAATCCCTTGCAAAAAATAAGGTAAAGTGGACATTCGCGCGCGCAAGACGAAATCCTTCCAAAACCTTAGTGTTCGCAGCGATTTTAACATAAAAACATCAAAAAACCAATGGTTTTTCAAAAAAAAATTGTCAAAATTTCATCCCGCGCGCTCTTGCGGATTCGTAGGAAACCCAACACTTTTTAAACATTTCTGTCAAACGGGCTTTTGCGAGCAACTTTTTCGAACTTCTGCAACAACGGTTGCGCACCTGCCAGGGCCATCATCCCTGTCAAATAATACCATGCGGGACACATTCGTTTTTTCTTCGCGCGCGCACGCCGTCGTCGTCGGCCGCGGGGCCCTGAATAGTAGCCACGGTCGTCCGCATGCCACGAAGTGAAGTGTCCGAACGTCATAGGGCGGGAAGCTGGGTGTGGGTGGTGGCGAAGAGTCGTTTGGAAATTTGGTAGAGCTTGAACCGGCCCCCCCACAAAGTGGGGGTATTGCCCGCCTCCTATGAAAACCCTGGCACTGGTGAGAACGGAGTGTCCCCACGTGCTAGTAATTGTTGTTGTTGTTGTTGTTGTTGTTGTTGTTGTTGTTGTTGTTGTTGTTGTTGTTGTTGCTATTGTTGTTGTAATGGTTGTTGTTGTTGTGCTTCTTCTTCTTATTCTTGTTCTTCTTCTTCTTCTTCTTCTTCTTCTTCTTGGGTCGCTGCTCTGCGAGGACGTCTCGGGCCTCGGAGGTCCGTCACGGTCCGTCGGGGAGGTCGAGGCCCCCGCGGGGTCTGTCGCCACACGGGGTCTTTGGCACTCCTGGGAGGTGGCGGCCGCCCCAAGTCCGCCAGGTCGCCCGCAGTTGCGCGAGGCGGACCGCTAGTAGGAGGAGGAGGAGGAGGAGGAGGAGGAGGAGGAGGAGGAGGAGGAGGAGGAGGAGGAGGAGGAGGAGGAGGAGGAGGAGGAGGAGGAGGAGGAGGAGGAGGAGGAGGAGGAGGAGTTGTCGTCCTGCCGTTTGTGGTTCTAATGGAAGCTCGATCGCCCGCGGGATCCTCGGGTGGCCGAGCGTCGGCGGCGCGCCTGTGGGGGGAGACCTTCGAGGGGACGGCCCCGTGTCGGAGGACTGCGGCGGGCCGTCTCGCCGACGACGGCCAGGGACACGCGGGCAGGTCTCGTGCCTACGAGCCCAAAGCCGGCGCGCTGCGTCGCCACAGTGGGCGGCACTGGCCTCGGGTTCCGGATCCGTGGTCCATATCTCGAGTAGGGGATCGTCTGCAGAATTGATTTACCCCAAAGTTGTTTTTTCTGGTCGAGTCATTCGGATAATGTTCGTAGGTCTACGAACCTTCTACGCATTTTTCATGGACTCGATCGACCGACAGATCAAGTTTGGGGTAAGGCAATTCTGTAGAAGACCCCTGCTCGAATGTCGGCGTGCGCCCGCCGAGGCTGATCGAGGGGCGCCGGGTGCACCACAGTCCTGGGCCCCAGGGCGGGTGGGCACGCGCTCCTGGGCAGGCCGTGTCCGCGGACGACCTGTGTGCACTGCACCGCGGTGGGGTCTCCCGAGGCGTCGTCGGCCCTCGACCCAGGAAGATGGTACGGTGCGCAGTTTTTCGGCACCGTACCGCGCTGGACCGTACCGCGTTGGACCGCGTACCCACTCAGGGCAGGAAACCTATGCACAGTACCGCGTTGGAGCGGGGCGTGAATCAAGGGAGGAAAAAGTCACCTGGACCCGACACTGTACGTGCATTGAAGCGGCCCTGGGCGTTTGATGAAGCCGCCCAGCCCTGTTCGATTCCTTCCCTGGGTGCGGTTCCTGAACGGCTTCGCTTGTCGGGGTGATTCTTATGGGGGTATGTTGCAGAGGCCTTGCGGCCGCCTCCGCCGACCCTGGCAAGGATGTCGAGGAGGAGGGGGAGGTGGAGGGGGAGGTGGAGGAGGAGGAGGAGGAGGAGGAGGAGGAGGAGTATGAGGACGACGACGACGAGGAGCCGGAGTAGGAAGAGGAGTGGGAGGGTGAGGAGGAGGTGGAGGTGGAGGAGGAGGAGGAGGAGGAGGAGGAGGAGGTGGATGCGGAGGTGGATTTTCTGCCCTCCAGCGACGGGAGTCCGGGCATGGAGCGGTGCAGGGGCGCCGCTCTCCGAGGCTGGGACGGGGCCCCGGGCGGGCGTGGGGCCAGAGCTGGTGCAGGTGGACGGCGGGCGTCCCTGGTAGACGAGGCGGGCTGGGGCGCTCGGGCTCCTCGAGAGCGGCACGGCGCATCGAGAGCGGCACACCTCGTCGAGTGTTATGATGCTCCAATCTACTTTAGCCTTGATCACCAGAGGATTTCGAGCACCCAGGAGGCACCGAATCTTGAGGGTCATCACGTGTCGGGCCCTGGGAGGCGATACTCGTTCGATACTGTTTGGATACTACTGTGGGTGCTCGGAACTATTTCTGGGATGTGGTCCTTCAGTCGAGTGTGAGGTTCTCTGGCTCGCGGCTGCTGTGTCGCAGGGGGCGGCATGGGATGGGGGATAGGCGGGGAAGATGGAACGGGGTGGGTCAGAGAGGGGGGCAGCGTGAAGGCGAGGGCATGCATTCTCCCCTTGCGTTGACGAGAGGCGGGAACGGGTAGTGGTAGTGTAGCTTTTGCAGTATTGGAGTCGGGCTGCAATAATCAGCAGCTGTACTAGCAGAGCTGTGTAATCATGGCAGTAGTCGATATCGTAGTTGCAGCGTCACTAGCAGTTGTAGTCGTGCCCGAAATCTCGGCAGCAGTCGACGCAGTCATAGTAACGTCGGGGTATGTTGAGGGAGGCGAGAGAGATAGAGAGAAAGAGAGAGAGAGAGAGAGAGAGAGAAAAAGAGAGAAAAGAGGAGGAGGAGGAGGAGGAGGAGGAGGAGGATGAGGAGGAGGAGGAGGAGGAGGGAGGAGGAGGAGGAGGAGGAGGAGGAGGAGAGGAGGAGGAGGAGGAGGAGGAGGAGGAGGTGGAGGTGGAGGTGGAGGTGGAGGTGGAGGTGGAGGTGGAGGTGGAGGTGGAGGTGGAGGTGGAGGTGGAGGAGGAGGAGGGAGGAGGTAGAGGAGGGAGGATGGGCTCTCACCTCTCGACTGTCCCCGTGTTCTAGCCCAGGTGTAGCCCGTTTCGCCTTCTCACTCGCAGTCAAGGACTTCGTCTACCTGGCGAGCTCGCTCCCCGTAACTAGCCGGGGCCTCTAGATTTTTTGCCAGCGCCAGATCGCGATCTTTCTTTTCCCCTCGCTCCCGCTCTTCCCTCCTCCTCGTCGTCTTCTCCCCTCCCCCAACGCGCTCCCTGCTCGTCCGTCCTTCCCCCTTCTCCTTCCCCCGTGCTCAGCCCGTGCTCCTCCGGCGACGACTCGTGTACGCTCGCCTCTCGCTCTTTTCCGCTGCTGGCCAGCACGTGCACGTCCATGCTCAGGAATCAGCGTCGAGCTGGGGGGGGATGGGAAGGTAGGGGAGGAGGATGTGGGGGTGGGTGCGACCTACAGTGGAAACCCATGCCAAGAGACCACCTGCTTGCCTCTAGGGTGCCCTGGGTTTCTCGGGTCTCGATGGTTTTGCTATTGAAAGCGTGACGTTCCCACACCAAGATCAGTGGACGTCCTGGGGTCTCAGGGTTGGGTTTCTTGTGGTCGAGCTAACACTGTATGTGTGCAGGGGCGGGATGCGAGGGCAGGGAGGAGCTGAGGACGGCTTCTGGAGGCCTCGGGGGGCACGCGCTCCCGCGCCGTGATCGTGCCGCTGCGGATCGTCGCTGCCATCCTCCACCGCCGCCGTTCCCGCCCTCGTCCTCCGTCCTCGTCCCGCTGCTGCTGCGAGGTCACTGCGCCCTCTCCCTCCCCCTCCACCCTTCCGCCTCTGCCCCGTTCTCCTCGTGCTCCTCCCCCCTCATCTTGTCGTCTTTCTGCTTCTCGTCTCTCCTCCTCCGTTCTGTTCCTCTTTTTTCGGTTCTGCTCGTTTCTGCTTCTCCTGCCTTGACCTCCCCTCTCCTCCCCTCTCCTCCTCCTCCTCCTCCTCCTCCTCCTCCTCCTCCTCCTCCTCCTCCTCCTCCTCCTCTTCCTCGTTTTTCCAGCACGTGGGCGGGGACGGAGGTCAGGAGGGGATAGATGGGGCAAGGGAGGCGGAGCGCCGGGCGACGGAGGTCCTGAGAGGTTCTGTGGCGGCCCAGTGCCGGCGGACAGCCGCGGGCTCCGCGAGGCGTGGATTGGGGGGGGGGGGTCGAGTGGCGCGGGCACCAGGTGGGAAGGGACGCGGGGGAGGGGACGGGGAAGTTCGAGTACTCCTCCTCCTCCTCCTCCTCCTCCTCCTCCTCCTCCTCCGGAAGAGGCGGCCGGTCGTCGCTGCTCTCGGCCCGGCTCGTTTCACGGCCGATCGGCGGGCACGGTTTGGCGCAGCTCGGCGCAGTTCGGCCGAGGCTTCGCAAAACCGGGGCCCACTACGTCGAGTTACGACCAGACCCGCCTTGGCCCCTCGACGCCGGCGCTGGACCTCGTCAACACTGGCAGCCCGTCACCGACTGGCAGCCCCGGCAGACCTGGCCCCTCGATTCCCGCGTACGGCCTGTGCCGTCCAGGCACGGGGAGGGGGGTCGCCGTCAAAAGCGGGCATGGGGTGCCAGTTGTGCACCGACACCTGGCCAGGCCGATCCTGGGCCAACATTCGGCGCCAACATGTATGCATGTGTGTATGGCTGTCTGTCTGTCTGTCTGTCCGTCCGTCCGTCCGTCCGTCCGTCTGTCTGTCTGTCTGTCTGTAGGTATGTATGCATGCACGCATGCATGCGTGCATGTAATTATGTATGTATGTAGAGATGTATTTATCCATGTGTGTATGTATGCTTATATGTAAATAGGTAGGTAGGCATGCACATATGTAACAACGTACGTAGGTATATATATATATATATATATGTATGCATGCATGCATGCATGCATGCATGCATGTACGTACATTTGTATATGCGTTTGTATGTATGTATGTATGTATGTATGCGTGTATGTGTGCATGTCTAGATGCATGCATGCATGGATGCATCTAGGCATTCACACGTATCTACGTATGTATGTACGCATGCATGCATTTATGCATTTATGTATATATGTATGCATGTATGCATGTGTGCATGTATGCATGTATGCATGTATGCATGCATGCATGCATGCATGCATGCAGGCATCCATACACGTGTATTTACATGTATGTGCACATGTATGCATGCACGTATGTATGCATGCATACATGTATGCAATTGCACATGCATGTATGTATGCATGCATGTATGTATGTATGCTTGCATGCATGCATGCATGCATGTATGTGTGTGTATGTATGTATGTACGCATGTACGGATGTACGTATGTACGTACGTACGTATGTACGTACGTACGTATGTATGCAGGTATACATATATGCATGCATGCATGCATGTATGTATGTATGTATGTATGTATGTATGTATACATGTATATATATATGCATGTATGTATGCATGCTTGCATGCATGCATGTCTGTATGTATGTATGTAATGTATGTATGTATGTATGTATGTATGTATGTATGTATGTATGTATGCATGCATGTATGTATGTATGTATGTATGTATGTATGTATGTATGTATGTATGTATGTAGGTATGCATGCATGTATGCATGCATGCATGCATGCATGCATGCATGTACACATGTATGTATGTATGTATGTGTGTATGTATGTATGTATGTAGGTAGGTAGGTAGGTAGGTAGGTAGGTATTTATGTATGTATGTATGTATGTACGTATTTATGTATGTATGTATGTATGTATGCATGCATGCATGTATGTATGTATGCATATATGTATGTATGTATGTATGTATGTATGTATGTATGTATGTATGTATGTATGTATGTATGTATGTATGTATGTAGGTGCATGTGTATGTAGGCATGTAATTGTGTATGTATGTACACATGTGCATGTATATATTCAGTGATGTATGTATGTTTTAATGCATGTTTGCATGCATATATATATATATATATATATATATATCGGCAGGTCGGCATGCATGCGTGTATGTATGTATGCGTGTATGCATGCACACATACACACATTATAATCTGAAAGGGCTTCGCCCCCTTCTGCCCGGCCCCTCTCTCGGAGAATGGGCCATGGAAGAGCGACGTCATGAGTCTTTGGCTTCACCGTGAAGAAGCGTGGGACCTTCATGCGAAGACGATGGGTAATTGGCAAGACGAATGGAGATTGCGAGTCTATTGTTGTACTCGCTGTTGTAGGAATTTCAGAAATGTTGCACAGTCCCTTTGTTTTTGGACACTGACCCCGCCGATCTGCATGAGGGGTGCCAGCAAATTTCAGAAATGTAGCAAATCTTACATGTTTTTGGACCCTGACCCCGCCGATCTGCGTGAGGGGTGCTACCGAATGTCAGAAATGTGGCAAATCTCATATGTTTTTGGACCCTGACCCCGCCGATCTGCGTGAGGGGTGCCAGCAAATTTCAGAAATGTGGCAACTCCCATATGTTTTTGGACCCTGACCCCGCCGATCTGCGTGAGGGGTGTTACAAAATTTGAGAAATGTGGCAAATCCAAGGTGTTTTTGCAACCTGACCCCGCCGATCTGCATGAGGGGTGCCAGCAAATTTTAGAAATGTTGCAAATCCCATATGTTTTTGGCCCTTACCCCGCCGATCTGCGTGAGGGGTGCTAGCAAATTTCAGAAATGTGGCCAATCCCATGTGCTTTTGGACCCTGACCCCGCCGATCTGCGTGAGGAGTGTTCAGTGTGGCAAATCCCATGTGGTTTTGGTCCCTGACCGCGCCGATCTGCGTGAGGGGTGCCACCGAATTTCAGACATGTGGCAAATCCTTTGTGTTTTTGGACCCTGACCCCGCCGATCTGCGTGAGGGGTGTAGACTTTTACCCACCCCAGCAGTTCAGAGCACACGCTCAGGGCGTCGTAAAAATACGCGTTTTGGGCCTCCCCCCTCGCGCGGTCCATCAACAAGGAACAGTAAGCAGCAAGAAGTCAACAGGGAACAGTAAGCAGCAAGAAGCATGACTGTAACAGTGGAAACTGGAAGCTGCAACTGGTACAGGAAGCCGCGAAGCTTCGGCCTACAGCCTGGTGGCCCCACAGGGGGGGCGGCGGATTATGCCCTGCTGGCCAGGCAAGGAGGGCGTACACCCCGATTCTGGGCCCAGGACGGGCCTGGCCAGGACCTGTGTCGGTGTGCGGTTGGTGCCCTCCTGCAGGGGGTGGGGCTGCTTTTCCCCCCTTGCCCATCTCGCCCCCCCGCGTTCTCCTCGTCCTCCTCCTCGTTCTCGTCCTCCTCCTCCTCCTCCTCCTCCTCGCCCGCCTATCCGCTTGAGTGCACCGTGCCACGTTGGCGTCTCCCGAGGCGTCGTCATTGCTCGACCAAAGCACGCTTTTGTTGCACAGACTTTGTCGGCCCCGAGGGAGGGCCGAGGGAGGCCCCGAGGGAGGGCAGGGACTTTGTCGGCCCCGAGGGAGCAGGCTGCGCACCATGCTGCGCTGGATGGGATGGGGGGCGAAGTCAGTCCGATCATGGCACGGATCCGCCTCGCCCCCATTTCGCTTCACCAACCCTCCCTCTCCCCCCTCCGCCCTTCACCGCTTCCCTTCACCAACCTTCCCTCTCCCCCCTCCGCTTTTTACCAAATCCCTTCAACAACCCTCCCTTTACCAGCCCTGCCCCTCCCTCCACCCTGCATCAGCCCTTCCTCCTCCTCCCCGGCGGGCCGCCGCGGGCGCAAACCATAACGCGCATCCCCAGGCAGCTCCCCGCCAGCTCCCGACCCTCTTCAGTTGAACTCGCCGACTCCCTCGCAGACGTCCACCTGAACGGGCCCAGCGCTGCCCGCGTACGGGTGCTCGCGCTCGGGCAGGACCGCCTCGCCTGTTTCTGCCGACGGTGTGGAGGAGGAGGAGGAGGAGGAGGAGGAGGAG